GGGTGTCGGTGAATAGACACACAGCTTGCAGGCTTCTGACAGGACCAAGGCCTGCTTAGTCACCACAGCCCCTGGCCTGACCGCATTCCACTGCCCTCCTCCCCGCAGCCAGAGGACCTGATGAACATGCAGCACTGCAACCTCCTGTGCCTGCCAGAGAACTACCAGATGAAATACTACTTCTATCATGGCCTCTCCTGGCCCCAGGTGGGCAGCTGGGATTTGGGGACTGGGGATACCAGGCATCAGTTTGGAAAGAGTGGGTGCTTTCAGCTGCGGTGGGGAGCTTAGGACTGGGCCAAAGGAGGGGCAGGATTCCCACTTGTGTCTGTCCTTTCCCTGCGAACCAAGGGAGAACAGCGTGGTGTGGGGAAACCAAGCCACTTGGCCTGGAGGTCAGGAGCTGTCACTGAACTCACCACTTGATGAACTTCTGTCTGTCATGCACACAGCGGTCTGTGGGACCAGGTGTCTGACGTAAGGGCTCCTCACCTCTGACAGGAAGTTGTTTTCTGACTTCTTTTTCCTCCCTGTCACCCAGCTCTCTTACATTGCTGAGGATGAGAATGGGAAGATTGTGGGGTATGTCCTGGCCAAAATGTGAGTTACCAAGGAGGGAGAGAAGCCTGGTGTGGGAGCTGGGAGTCGGGGCATGGATCTTGGACAGGAGGTGGGGGCACAAACACCGCACATGTCTGGTGAATGCTGCCTGGGTTTTTTGGGTGTTTTTTTAAAAATTAACTTACAGACTTTTTTTTTTAAGTTCAGTTTTAGGTTTACAGCAAAATTTAATGGAAAGTTCAGAGTTCTCACATGCACCCTCCCTTCTCCCCCCTAGTTTCTTCAATTATTAACATCTTGTGGTATATTTCTTACAATGGATAAACCAATATTGCTACATCATTAAAGTCCATAGTTCCCTTTAAGCTTGACTCTTGGTGTATCTTCTATGCATTTGCACAAATGTATAATAACACATATCCACTATTAGGATATCATACAGAGTAGTTTCACTGCCCTAAAAATCCTCTGTGTATCTTTGCCTATTCATCCCACCTTCCTCCTCTTCCTGGCAACTACTCATCTTTTTACTGTGTCCATAGTTTTGCTTTTTCCAGAATGTCATTTAGTGGCAATCAGAAACTATGGAGCCTTTTCATATTGGCTTCTTTCGCTTAGTAATGTGCATTTAAGGTTCCTCCATGTCTTTTTTTGGCTTGCTAGGTCATTTATTTTTATCACTGAACAATATTCCATTTTAGTCTGTTGACACTACACATGTCTTTTGGTTGCTGTGAGGGGTTTTGAGAATCTCAGCTTTTCCCCCACCCCAGGTCTGGGGAGACTTTGGGGCCAGCCAGAGGAATTTTCACTCCTGCCATGCGCATGTGCGGGGGCCGGGGGGGGGTGCTGCATCTGCATCACGCTCCTTGCTAATCTCTCTTCTTGATATAGGGAAGAGGACCCAGATGATGTGCCCCATGGACATATCACCTCACTGGTGCGTAGGGCCCACACAGGCTCTGATGGGGGTGGAAGTAGGGGTTAGTTGGGGCAGCCTTCAAGGTTCTACCCTTCTTCCTCCAGGCTGTGAAGCGTTCCCACCGGCGCCTTGGCCTGGCTCAGAAGCTGATGGACCAGGCCTCCCGAGCCATGATTGAGAACTTCAATGCCAAATACGTTTCCCTGCATGTCAGGAAGAGGTGGAAGCTGGGGCCAAGGGAAGGGGAGGAGTGGGGAGGGGATACTGTCTTGATGTGGATCTTGGGGTGCCCTGGCCTTTGGAAAAGATCTGGGAAATGGGATTAGTGGGGAGGGGGCACTAGGAAAAGGGGCAGGACCTGGATGTGCTGTCCCTGCCTGACCAAGTCTGTGCAGCTCAGCAGTGCCTTATTCCCCTGCAGTAACCGGGCCGCCCTGCACCTCTATTCCAACACCCTCAACTTTCAGTAAGTAGATCTAGATTTTTCTAATGGAGTGGGGTGGTCCCAGGTCTGGCTTATCCAGGTGGCTGAGATGGGCTGAGCTGCATTCCAGGCAGCAGGGGCAGGGGCAGCTGAGAAGGGGAGCAGGTCATGGACTCCACACACATTGCCAGGGTGCCTCCTCTATTCCTACCTGCTGCTATCTGTTCAAGGCATGTTGTGATGCAGGAGGATGTGTGGTGCGTATTGCTGGGTGGAGGAGCGATTGCTTGATGCTGGCTGAGAGCAGGTGATGGGCAGTGTGGTGAAGAGCACACAGGCTTTTCAGTGAAGGTTCAGGAGTAGAAATGAGGGCTTAGGACATGAGCAGAAGCCTAGGAATAGGACTCAAAATGGCCAGGCACCTAAAAGCATCTAAGTGGGACCAGAAGAAAGGAGAATATGGTGCTACAGAAGCCTAAGCACATCCAGGCAGGATGTTCTGTCAGCACGAGAAGCGAAGGGATCTAGAGCCCTGGGCATCCTGGTGATGAGGGTGGGTTCACTCAGGGACATGGGAGTCTCTGTGTACCTGGCACAGGAGAGAGCCTGGCAGGGAATTGACACACCCAATACATGATAGCAAAAGCCACTTGAAAGTGAGGCTGGGGTGGGTTAGACCCCAGTGGGAGGACCCACTGAGACAGTACTCAACCTCACTTTGGTGGGAGATGAGAAGGGACTGTTGTGAAGGGCATTTGAGGAGAGATTTTTTGACCCAGATGCTGAAACCTCTAGTGGTCAACAATTCCAGGGGCTTATGTATGGAGGGACTTTCTAGGCCATTGAGTCCAGCTCCCCTTTCAGTGGCAGGCACCCAAGTCTGCGCGCACACCTCCAGTGAAAGCTCAGCCCCTAGCTGCCCTGGCCATGCTGCCTAGCAATGCCTGTCAGGAACAGAGGGTGCAGCACCCCTTCTCCCCGGTTCCAATTGCTAGGCATAGGAACTGACCATGCATTCTCAGTAAGTGACAGGGAGCAGGGCAGAAAGGGAAGAGGATGGCTAGATTTAGGGCTTCAGCTCACAAGAAACCACAGAAAGATCTTGGTAGCCAGGTTAGGGATGCAGGACCATGGCAGGACCCCGGGAGTAGGGAGAGGGATATAGGCACTGGCACTACTCACTGCTTGACAGAGCAAAGGGAAGGCTATGTTGGAAATGGGGCTTGTCTACAAAAGGGTCCTTCGGATGGAAATGACATCTTATCCCACTAGCATATGATGCCAGAAGGCTGAGGAGAATTTGACCCCTGATTTGGGTTGCCCTCCTCTCCACCGCCTGCCCACAGGATCAGTGAAGTGGAACCCAAATACTATGCAGATGGAGAAGATGCATATGCGATGAAACGGGATCTCACCCAGATGGCTGATGAGGTAAGAGTCTAGGGGGGCTAGGGCCACAGTCCCCACACGAAAGAAAAGTAAGGCAAGTAGGGGAGGCCCTGCTGGAGGAAAGGTGAAGGCTCCCAGGGGCCCTGAGATGGTAGGAGGCCTGTGATGGCTGGAGGCAAGATAGACCAGGTGCCAGCCGTTGTGGCTACATTGCTGGGAGTTGCGGTGCTTGTCACTACAGCTTCCTCAGCTGTCAGGTAGGGAGGTGGGCCTTGTCAGGGCTTTGAAGAAGGCTACATCTGCCCAAGGTTCCATTTTCAGGAAGAAGCCTGTGCCACTCTTGAGGCATGATGTGAGAGGCAAGGGAGGAGGCCTCTGGATGCACTGAGAGTGAGGGCTCCAGGATTGCAGTGGGGGCCTGGGGACAGCCATGACCTGTCCCAAGGCTCAGGGGTAAGACAAAACAGGGCTGAGGAGAAAGTCAAGGTCCTGCAGCAGCCCGTGTGAGGGAGGCATGACCATACTGCCTTTACAGGAGAGAAAACAGGACAGAGCCAGGATTCAACACAGTGCAGTCCTGTATTCCCTGCCCTGTCCCTGCTGCCTCTCATTTTGCCCCATGCCCCCAGGAAGTGACAGGCACAGGGTCCCTTGGGCAGCCAGAGAGGGCCTAAATGGTCTGGAGACTTAGGTCCTGTCTTCTTCCTCCCACTTCTCCCTGGGCTACTGGTGGCAGCTGAGGAGGCACCTGGAGCTGAAGGAGAAGGGCAGGCACACAGTGCTGGGCTCCATTGAGAACAAGGTGGAGAGCAAGGGCAACTCACTTCCAAGCTCAGGAGAACCCTGTCGTGAGGAGAAGGGCCTGGCTGCTGAGGACAGCGGTGGTGACAGCAAGGACCTCAGTGAGGTCAGCGAGACCACAGAGAGCACCGATGTCAAGGACAGCTCAGAGGCCTCCGACTCAGCCTCCTAGAGCATGCAAGTGCTCCTTTCCCTGCCCTGGCCTGCCCATCCTATCCTCACCCAAGGTTTCACAATAAACTTTACCCAGTAGCCTTGGGGGGTTTGTGTGTACGAGTGTGCACATTTTGGGGGGGGGGTGCCTCTCTCAGGTCCCTTTGTGTCCCTGTGGAGGTGGACCTCACAGCCTTTTGGCACTGTGTGTCTTGGAAAGTCCAAGGGAAGAAGAAGGGAAGAGCTTTGTCTGGGCTTTGGAGGTAGAGCTCCTAAGTCTGATGGCTTTCAGCATCTTTGGGCCCTAGGGAGGGAGACCCTGGAGTTCTGGGAGCCACCCCCACCTTGGGGACAGATTCTCTGCCTTCTGAGCCCTGCTCTTCACTGCCTTGCTGGGTTCTAGATGCCTAAGTCCAACTGCTCATTGAGCTTATCCACTGATGTTGTATCTGGATAATGGCCCAACCAGCTACCCAGTTGAAGTTCTGGCAACTGTTTTTGTTTCCTCCCTCCCCTGCCATCCAAAAGGTCAGTGAGTCCTGTGTTTGACCACCATAATACTCCTTGAATCTACTCCCTAACCTAAGCCTTAATTTGAAAATAATTAAGATTTTATTTTTAGTAGTTTTAGGTTTACAGAACTGAGCAGATAGTACAGAGTTCCCATGCACCCCCTCTATCCCCTCAGTTCCCCTATTAACATTTAGCATTGTGTTGCATTTGTTACAATCGATGAGCCAGTATTGACACATTAACTATAGTCCAGGGTTTACATTTCCTCTTCGTGTTATACATTCTATGGATTTTGACAAATGCATAATGTCATTTCATGCAGAATATAAGCCCTCTTTTTCATGCACTATAACCCAAATTTGTTCCTGTGCCCTTTCCTCTGGCTGCAGCGCCATCACTTGCCGCTCCTAGTCCCCGAGGAGGCTGTCTGAGCTGCCCACCTCCCAGGGAAGCTCAGCACTCCTGAGCTGTCACTACCGTATTTCCCTGCTACTGCCAACGACACACTACTCCCCTGCCAGGCTGAATACTTCCGGGAGGGGCCTGAAACTCGGTCCTCTTTGGCTGGTGCTTGGCACGTGATCAACCAACCCGGGGAAGCTGAAACTAGGGGGCAGGGGATAAGGGCTGAAAGCTGTGTCTGCGCAGGCCCGCTTGCTCGCGGGTTAAGGCGACGCTGTGTTCTGATTGACTCAAGTCGCGGATTCCCCTATGGGAGTTGGCGACCGATACTCGCCCCGCCCTCCGCGCCTGGCGTCAGTCCCTTCCGGTTCGCTAGCCGCGGCGGGCCTCGTTCCCAGGCTCTGATTGGTCCGGCAGCTGCGGCAAGCGTCCTTGCGCGTTGCCTAGGCCGCGCCCCAACGCTGGTGGGAGGGAGCCGGTGGAGGCTTGCGCGGTGCCTTGCGGAGTCCGTCTTCCTCCGCCCAGCCCGCAGGGATGCAGCCGCCCTTTGCCCTCGGTGCCCTGCTTCCCTGGCGGGCGGCGCACAGTGCGCCGCCCCCAGGCGGTTGCGTTTCCTGGGCGGAGGTGGGAACTGCGGGTGGTGGGGGAAGGAGGGGAAGCCACAGACCCGACTGGCCCTTGGGACCCAGCACTTCCCCCGCCTCTGCAGCACCTTCCGCTGGGAGGGGCCGCTTCCATTCCAATGAACCGAGCTGTGGCTGGAAGGCTGGTGGAAGGAAAGCAGTCTCCCCTAACCCCTCGCGGTGTGGCTGGGGTAGGCACTGACGACATTCCACTCCCTCCCCCCATGAACCTAGACATTGAGGTGCATATCATTGTGTCTTATTGTTAGACTTCTGGAAAGCAGACTTGTGGGAAAATAGGAGGGGCCTCACTGCCCAATTCATGCTCTCATCTATTCTTGCTCTGATGTGGACTGCTTGTAACAGCCTCCCCGTTGATCTCATCTCCCCTCTGGTCTGTCAGCCACGCTGCGGACCTGATCCCGTCAGCACTGTGGTTACCACTCAGGACCAAGTATACATACACTCCACTCGTCAACAGATTTAGCAAGGTCCCGCAGACCTGGCCCTTGCCTAATTTGGGATAATGGGATTTTGGATTCTTTGGGAACGAGCTGAGGATAGAGCAAGCGTTACAGCCTTAAATGCCAAACAAGTGTCCTAAAAGCCAGGGCTGATTACTTGCGATTTTAAAGCAGTGGCTGAATGGGGCATCATGTCTGCATTTCTGGAGTCAGAAAAGGTCTGAGGAGAGCATTTGAAAGTAGGGGCTGAGATGAGTTCATCAGTAGTTTCTTGTGGGCTTGAGCCCTGTGCCAGGCTCTGTTGGATGGGCGAAGGACTTTTGGGGATCATTCAGGGCTCAGATGGAGAAAAGGGGGAAGGGTGTGTTGGGGTTTGCTGATGAGCTTGGGTTCCTGACAAAGGCAGTTTCAGGGGTTGGTGTACCCTTGCTTACTGTGGGAAGGGGCAGGAGATTTGCTCGCGTGCCTTGCAGAAGGATTCAGTTGGTACAGCTGAGACCAGCTACTGGAAGCCCAGGTCCTGGGCCTTCCAGCCCCAGACCCCGTGGACACAGCATCCTAGAGAAGGCCCTTGGTCGTGGGGGGAGTGGGGGGTGGACAGCAAGCTGAGGAGTTATGCTTTCCCCTTCTGAGAAAGAGAATTGCTTATAGTTGAAAGGCAGGAAGTACTTTCACAGCCTGCCCTCCCTCCCTTAGAGCTGCAGGTCTAAGTCACATGTGCTCGCATGTATACAGAGCCTGACTTTGACATCCTGCACACACAGGCCTAGACTCCTTGCACTAGTGCCTACAGACCAGCCTCCCTGGGCACAAGCTTACTAACTGCCTCATTCCTCTCCTACCATCTAGACCCCAGGAATTTCCCTCCCACCCAAGTGAAGACAGTTGTATAGTCTGGCTTATCACCTGCCACTTGCATCCTGCCTTCCCAATTTACTGGAGAAAAGCTGTTGCCCTGTGGCTTTGGGTTGGTAGAGAGTGGTGGAGGGAAACTGCAGTACCCCTGGATAAGGGAGGCCCCCAGACTTTCCCCCAGGCTTGCTAAGGCCTTGCTTTGAGGAGCAGGAGGAAGGCTGTATCCCCACCCCCAGGCCTAGGAGAGGACAGGTGCAAGCAGCAGGGGAAAGCAGACAGAAAAGTCTCTTCCGGCAGCAGGAAGTGGTAACCACCTATGGGGAAACAAGGCTTGTTCCTCCCTATGGGGTGGAGCAGAAGGGGAACCTTAGCTGAACACTGCTCTCCCCCTCAGAAGGGGGGCTGTAGGGAACAACTACTGAGGTTCTGTCCTCTGGTGCTGACTTTCCTCCCAAGCCCACCCTGGGAACTTCCCACCCAGTTCTCCAGGCTCCTTGCACTTATCTCTCAGGGCTGTGACTTGGGAAGGGTGGGCTCCATCTGATGTCCTGGGGGTCTGGGAGAAGGTGGTGACTCAAGGAAGTCCACGACCTAGAGCAGCTATGGTGTCCTTGCCCACTGGCATTGAGGGCCAGTGGCCATGTCTGGCAGTGGTGGCCAGCCAGCCTTCTAGAGGTGGGGGGACAGCAGCCAGAGGGAGCCAGCTTGCTGGGCACCTTGGGGTTCTCACACTGGCCCTGGCTGCCTGGCAGAAGAGCTTTGGGCACAAAGCAGCCCAGGTATGGACCAGCACCCAGCGGTAGGGGAGGCATGGCCTGAGCTCATTGGGACCCGCACAGGAGTCCATCCAGGGCAGTGCCAGGCCTGGGTTGCCCCGCCCCGGTACGTGCTGGGGGGCGGGACGGGGAGGAGCCAGTGACCGGTGCTGGCTGTGGAACCCCAGGTCCCAGCGCCTGGCCCGGGTGGGAGCAGTGGGGCTCGACGGCGCCGCTGCCGGCAGCCATGGCCGCGCACGGGAAGCTGCGCCGGGAGCGGGGGCTGCAGACCGAGTATGAGACGCAAATAAAAGGTGAGAGGGTGCTGGGCTCTTCGGGCCCGATTCCTTGCGGAGACCCCAAGGCCGTGGAGGAGCCCCAAAAGTCACGCTATTGGCCCAGGGCCCGCTGTCCTCCCCCAGGCACCTGAGGGGGTGTTGAAGGAGGGATCCAGAGCCCCCTGCCTGCTCCTCTGCACCCCCTTGGCCTCAATCACCCCACTGTTTCCCCTTCCTTCCCCCTTTCCCTCCTCCATCACTCCCTTCCTTTGGTTTCACTGCCCTCCTTAGTTCTCCTTGCACCTCACCCGAGGAGCCTGAGAAGAGAATGGGGCCTCTGGGTGCACCAAGGTGACCCCCAGAAAGTGACATTCTAGCCAGAATGAAATCGAACACTTTGACTTTGCTGAGGTGGGGGCTAGTAAGGGAGTCCAGGTGCCTAGGTGGATGTATTAGTGATGGCTTTGTCCTTAAACCACTTCAGTCCCTGTAGCCCAGACCCTTTGCCCTCCCTTGGGCGCTGAGGTGGCTCAGAGCTAGGGCCACTGTCTCTGGGTCAAGCTGGCCCAGTGAATCTTGGCCTGAGAGAGTCAACAGGGCCAGTCTCGCAGCCTTCAGAAGAGTAGATCTCTTTGGGCACTTATAAACAGGCTGTGCCAATCTCATGCAAATCAGCTTTGCAAATTCTTTGTCAACAACTTCTGCGGTTTTATTTAGGGGTTTTATTTAGGGTGTGGTAACTCTTTGCAAAGGAAAGAAGGTAGCATCCAAGCACCAACAATTTGGGGCCATAAAGTTTCCTAGTGTCTTTAGATGTGTGACCCCCATATATCATTCTCAATCGCACTGTTTACCGATGGAAGAAACTGAAGCTCAGAGGAGCAGTGACTCGCTTGTGGTCACACAGTACTACAGCTCCTGGGAGGTAGAATGAAATAACCCTTGAAGTTCCTTCCAACCCAGAGATGCAGGTTGCAACGTAATTATTAATGCAAGCAATTTACACCAAAATATGCCTGAGTCCTCCCCACCTGAGAGAGGCGACCTGCCACCCAGAGCCAGCTTGAGATAATGGTGAGGGTGAGCCAGCTCTTCAAGCCTTACCTTCATCATTTTGCAGATGAAGATAATGATTCCCATCCTGCTTCCCCAAAATGTCATGAGGCTGAAGGACTTTGGGAACTCTTCAGTCAGCAAATATGGGTCAGTGAATTCA